ATATATTAATGAGATGGTAAATAACTATCCATAAATTGCAGCACTCGATATGTGGTCAAACAGCGCATCGTTTTAGCTGTTTCCATCTATTTTTATATATTTCATCCTGACACAGCATATTAAGATTGTCCTGCGTTTACAAATATTAATATCACGATTACGATTGTGATATTCTTTCACCTTTTATTCGCACCATCTGCTGAAAGACTGTTTCGACACGACTCTAAATTCGCTTGATCACTGTGTGCTCTGCCCCTGCAGACTGTTGTTTTCATGCGATGAAGCCGGAGCGGTTATCGAGGACATGCCATGCGTGTTTTTACGCGTCTGCATTTCCACCCACGCATGAGGCGTTCAGTTTCAGGCTGTTTCTCACACTCTCTATCGTTCTGCTGTGCGATTTTGTTAAAAAATGCGGCAAACAAGCTGTGAGACCTCAGCTAAACCTTACACTGAATCTGGAACTGCATAGTTATAAAAGCCTGTAGTATTTTGAATAGCCGGAGAGCGACTGGCCGTGAACATTCAAGGCCTTTAAACTTGAAAATCTGTGGATTTCTGAGGACTGTAAAGAATCATGTCCTGCCAAGGTTTAGATCAGTGAATTCGCTGCCACCCAAAAATGACAGTTCTGTTATCATTTACTTACCTTGTATGTTTGTTCCAAACCCATGCTTTGCTTGCTCAAAAAAGATGTTTTGTAGAATGTCCTAGACGCTTCTTTCCATACAATGAAAGTGAATGCAGACGTCAAAAAGTGTGTCTATAATTCTCAAATCTACAGAAGCTTATTTCTGCCAAGGAATAAAATATTAAAACCTATAAAAATATTATAAAGTAAATAATTGTGACTTTTAATCTCACAGTTGCACCTTTTTTTCTTGCAGTTCTGAGTTGATGAGTTTTTCTCTGAAAAGTAAAAGAAAAGAAAAAACTTTTTTTTAATGCGTGGTGGAAAACAAACAAGATTTATGCGTTAATAACTTGAAATTGCAAGATACATACTTGCGTTTGTGAGAATAAAGTTGGAATAATCAGATCGAAAGTCACAATACCTTTTTTATGTATTTATTCTGTGGCGCAAATAAGCTTCCATACAAATCTCGTTTGCATTTCTGCATATTTAAATAGCATTTAGTATCAATAGCTATGTTTCCATCACCCTGTTTTATGCGCATTTAAGTATCGCATCAGAAGCGAGTGATGGAAACGGCAAATTTAGAATAAAAATCCCTTAGTTTGCAAAAAAAGTTTTTACACTCGCTTGAGGTGGTTTTTGACTTGTGCGAAAAAGTGTTAATGCGAATAAAAGGAGATGGAAACGCATTTGCCGAGTAAATTCCGAGCAAAGTCTGTCATCAACGTATTTCTGTTTAATTGCCTCCCAGAACTGTTACACGACTGCGTTTCTAAACAGCAGCATCCGCCTCCGAAAGCAATGACCGCATTTATTGTGTTTCGTCTGCTCGCTCTGAGGCGCAAGTGATTTATTATATAAGCCTATGAAAATTATTATATTCAGGGGTTTCTCCTACTTTTCATAGTGATATATAGTATACCACCAGTTCAGGAAGTGACGATTTTGTTCTCTTTGACTCATTGGATGGAAACGGTGCTTATTCGCAAATGTTTTATGCAATATTTAAATGTTGCGCATAACTTAAATCCGCAACTATGGATGGAAACCCGGCTACTGACGTCAAACTTGGCATCTTGCCGCTTAATCATCTTTAAATGTATGCAAATGTGAAACAGATTTGAGTTTATTACTTTCGGTGTATAAAGACGTAATTTTTGGTCTGTTTCAGCTTTCGTGTGACGTCAGAGGACTAAAAATCCATGCGTTCGACCGGCTCTCGATCCTCTTTCATTGTATGCAAAAGTTCTCCTTTTTCAGTCCCAGAAATAATAAAACAAATTCGAGGGCGAGTAAATGACAGAATGCTCGTTTTTGTAATTTCTCAAAGATTAACGTGTAAAAGTCCCGACGAGTCACAAACGATCCCTTCGAAAAATAGATTGTACATTGTTCTATTTATTGTGTGTTTTTTTTTTATGTAGTTGTTGTTGATGTATTGATGTTTCTCGATTGTGTACAGATATCATCTTGTGGATTTTGCAGTGTGTGACATTGTGACTGTGGTCATGTTCCCTTTCCAAACACACGGCTAAACGCTCATCGCTTTTGAATCGATTCGTTTCTCTCTTAGTTTAATAGTAGCTGGTTGGTTTAGTTTGTTTGCATCCTCAGTCCTGACTGAATTATCTGTGATACCTGACTCTAGATCAGCTCTCTATAGGCTTATGCTAGTTTTACCAACCAGATGTAGAATTTTATAACGTCCCCAGAGCAGCAACCAAGGGCTTCAGATGCGCTCACGTCATTCACGGTGGTTTTCATTAGATCTCGTATTGTGTTCATGTCTGTACGGTTAGTCTATGATCGGTAGATTCGTCTCTGTCAAAGGCCTCTGTTAAGCACTGTGCTTTGCGCTTGAGATCAATTTACCAGGTGCAATTTTAAAACACAGCGCCTCCACTGGGGAACATCGGAAAAGCCATATTATCAATGCTCGCCTTTTCCATGTTTCCTTTTGCGAAGGCGTATTCGGATGAACTTCCTGTTGCAGCAGGAAATGATGCGGAGCTCTACGGATTAAGAATTATTTTCTTTGCAATGTCTTTCTCCAGTTTAATGCCACTTCTTTTCCTCTATGCAGAGATTATTGGGCACTGTGCACGAGCGTCTCCTCTAGACACGTTTGCGACGTCGTTAATAACCACTACATGCACGTATCACGAAACAGTGCGATGCTGAAGCCATAGACGCATAATCATGTCGTTTGATTGTCAAATTGGATGTCACGGTATTAAAACATATCAGCCTTGATAATGCTGCAAAAGCTTCGTAATGCTGAAGATTTGTCGCTATTGGCGTAACAGAAACACGATTCGAGGTGTTTTATCCTACGTTTAGCTACCGTGTCCAAAACAAGGACCACTGAATCTAGCCGAAATAACAATTAACACAACAATAAATCCTGCTGAAAACCTGTCC